CGAAGACCGAAAAAGCCGAAAACAGACCGCAAGAAGGTGCCCAAAAAGAGCCTCAACGAAAACCCGGTGGTGGTCAAAATGGAGGAATCCTCCTCGGACGTTACATCCAACGCTTCTGAAAGACAGCACCCCAGTCCTTTTCAACAACCCGATCCGTTCCACCCGATTCCAGGCATTCCAGATACAAACTCGGACGATCTCGATTTTCCACCTTTGGACGAGGCCAATGTGGAGTTTTTTGGTCCTCCAGTGCTCATGACTTCGGATCTTTTCAACGAAGACTGGGAAGCGCTTTTCCCAGACTCCATCTTCAGCTCCAAGACCCACGAACTGTAATATACTACACTAATGCCGTCGTGCTTCGTAATTGTGGCTATGTAGATCAGCCCGAGTTGGCCTTGCTGGAAAGCTCGGCCTGCTTCACAAGGTTCTGTGGAGCGTCCTTGCTGTCGAGAAGAACCTCAATGAGTCTGATCTTGTCGTTCTTCGCAAAGTCCTCGTTTTTAAAAAGCTCGTCAAGCTCGGCGGCCTTGCCAACAGTGACCGCCTCGTAGTTTTTGGCTCCAAAAGTGGGCAAAATCAGCTTATGGTCCCATGGCTGGATGTCGTTGTACTCGGCTTCTGGACCGTGGATGTACTTCTCGATGGTGTAGCCGTCGTTGTTCAAAACGAAGAGGTAAGGCTTCAAGCCGTTTCTGACCATGGAAGAGATCTCCTGGACGGTCAACTGCAAGGAACCATCGCCAACAAAGAGGATCACTCTTCTGGATGGGTCGGTCTCTTCAGCAGCTGCAGTAGCACCAAAGGTCGAACCAACAGTGTAACCAATCGAGCCCCATAAAATCTGCGAGATACCCAAAACGTCCTTTGGATACTTGGTCTGGATAATACCGAACGAAGCAGTACCGGTCTCGGTGATGACAATGTCTCTGGGCTTCAAGAACTTGGACAAACGGTGCCACAACCATCTCTGGGTGATCAATCCCTCAGGTTGGTCCTCGTGCTCGAATGGGTCGTTAACAACATCCACAGGCTTGTAGTTCTTGGTGGCCTCCTTCAACTTGGGCAGCTTCACAAGCTCGTGAAGAACCTCCTTCATGGCGACCTTGGGGAAAATGGCGTTTCTGATCTTGGTGTGGTCCGAGTGGAACTCAACGGTGTTTCTGTTCAACGAGTACGAGAACGAGCCGGTGTTGAAGTCACTGAGCAACGCTCCTATAGAAAGAACAAGATCGGACTCTTCCACGGATGCCTTCACATCCTCGTAGGACAAAGATCCAACGTAAACACCAGTAAAACGTCTTCCACTCTCGTCGATGTTCTTTGTACCCTTAGCCATAGGCGTCGTGGCGTACTTGAAATTCGTCACATTAATCAACTCAGCAGCTTCCTTACTGGCATCGTGTCTGGCGCAACAGGCATCAATGAGCACCACAGGGTTCTTTGCCTTGCTGATCAAATCCAAAACGATATCCAAAACCTCCTCCTGGGCGGATGGATCATTCTTAGCGATCGACAAGTCAATTGGCTCGTTCAAACGCTCCTTGGGCACTTCAACATCAACCATGTTGGCTGGAAAGGCCAAGTAGCCGGGTCTTTGGTGGATGTAGGCCTCTCTGATGACTCTGTCAATGACGTAAGGGGCGTGGGCAGGATCGTCAAGAACACCTTCGGTCTGAGAGATGTTTCTCGACATCTTGCCGAAAACAGCGAAATCACCATTGCCCAAGGTGTGGTGCAACAACAATTGCTTCTTCTGGGAGTCAAGCGAAGGAATACCGACAATGTGGATAGTACCCACATGTTCAGCGTAAGAGCCTGCCACACCATTGAAAGCAGACAATTCACCCACACCAAAAGTGGTGACTAAAGCTCCGAATCCGAGTCCACTGCTGCTGGCGTTACCCTTGACTCTAGAGTAGCCGTCAGTAGCGTAAGCAGCGTTCAATTCATTGGCACAACCACGCCATCTCAAGCCGTCAACCTCGTCAATCTTATCAAGGAGAGTCAAATTGAAGTCTCCGGGGACACCGAAGATCGATTTCAAGCCAATGGGCTCCTGGCGGAGTCTTTCAAACAAGTAGGTTCCGAGGGAAATGGTTTCGGGCATTTTTGTGTGGTTCTGACAATCAGGAGCAAATGGTGCCTTTTAAATGATCCGGCCCGAAATTAGGTTAGTACACCATGCCTAGAGCAATTGCTATTTAGCAACCGATGTAATGCACCACGGACAGGACCAGCTCGTTCCGAGATCGCCGTCATTGTTTCGAGGCCAAGTACAAAAGACGCCATGCCATGCATTAAGCTCCGGAAAAACTCGACTTTCCTTATTTTTCGACTTCAGTTCGGGCAATTCACCACGGTTGCTGGTGTAGGGGGTTTTTCCGAGTTGTGTCAAAATGACGTTATCTGCCGTCGTGCATACGCACCTAGCTAAGAGGGTCCCAGATTGTCTCATCCACAAAGTATAGCCAATTGAAAGTGTTCCACGAGCTGATAACTCCGAAGCCGCAGTAGACGCTGTAGATCATGAGTTTGAGAAACTCGAGCTGGCGAAGAATCTCAAACTTGTGCTGGAAGAGGTCGATCATGCTCGTGAACAAAACCACGGGCAAAAGGCCCAACACATAGAGGTTGCTGACTCTTTCAACCATGTAGCCTGACTGCTGGGCCAAGTGGCTAGGCACGCGGACCACTTTCCTGAAGTGGAAGTAAAAAATGATGAACCAGAGAAGCGTGAAGACCACCTTGATGAGCCATTCCTCGCAGGTGAAGATAAGCGGGAACAAGGATACGTAACCGCATGCAGCGAGGAGGTTGAAGCTGCTCAAAAGACGCTTGTCTCTGGTGACAAGGAAGGAGATGGGGAAAATGATGATCAACACGGCTTTTTCGTGAACGTGCCAGCCGAAAAGGAAAGAAGCGTAGCCGCACAAGGTCAAGGCGCCAATGAATCTTTCGAATGTAGGCTGGAGGAAAAGTGGAATAAGCGCCATGACCTGGTAGAAGAGGGTGAGCAAGAAGGTGAGCTGTGGTGTGATGGTAGGCAACACCAAGAACTCAATGTCGCCCACAATGCCCCTGGTGGTGGACAGAAGGAGCTTTTTGTTGTTGAGGAGGGCAGGGTCGAACTGGAGAATGCGTTGAAGAGGGATTCTGGAAAGCGGGACTCTTTTGTAGATTTGAATGAGCACTCTGTCAAGGAAAGAGTAAAGTGCCCACACGTTTGGCGCCCAGTACGCATGTGTAAGGCCTCTGCTGAACGGAAAGAGCCTCTCGAGCATCTCGGGAATGACATGGTAGTAGACAAAGGGCCCAAAAGCGACGGTAAACACGGCAATTACCACCGAGCCCAATTTGAACAAATTGCGCCACCTCACCAACCTCACCACGTTATGCGCAAAGCTCTTCTTTCTGTCGTAGCTCAAGTTCAAGCAGTAAGCCCTGAGTAAGTACACAAACACCGCCGGTGCCAAGTACAAGTAGATGTGCTTGAAGCAAAGAAGCACGCTGAACCAGAAGCCACACCACAAGAACTTCTCCAAACGAGCACAATTGATCATAAGCACCAAAAACCCGTAAAGCACACCGTTGTACTGAAAGTGGATATGGTCGATTATCAACAAACCAGGCGATAAAACCAAACTCAGCGCCACGACAAACGCCCTGGTGGCGGCCTGGTTCAGCTTGGCGCTGCTGACGTACCACTGCAACGCCAAAAACAACACCACCTCTGAAAGCACCACGCTGAGTCTTTGAAAGAAGACCGTCGGAAGGCTATACAAGCCCTTTTCGACAATTGCCAAGGCGCCGTCGTCCCGGACGAGTTTGGGCACCAAGTACAGCAAAAAGCACTCGTAGTAGGCGAAAAGCGGCGGGTAGTCCAAGGTCCACTGGGACGTTTTCTCAAGGTACCATTGAGCCACTGGGAGGTTGTGGGTGATGGCTAGCCAGTTGCGGTGGACGTCAAAGTCCGTGGAGTGGTAGCCAATCAGAAGCAAGGCCTTGAGCGCCAACAGGACTCCCCATATGTTGAGCAACAGGTACGGTTTTGTGCGTTGGGGGTTTTTCTCTGTCATGGTGGTTGGTGAGAATTTCGCGGTGGTTGATGTTGATCGGGTGAGGTGGGGTGGTGGTTCAAGTGGATTATGGAGATTTGGGAAAATAAATGGATTTGGGGTTTTTTTGGGTGGTGGGTTGAAGGTTTTTTGGAATGTGAAGGGGAATTGGTGTGGAGGTGGTGGTTTGTGGGTTTATGGTGCTGCTGTGAATGGCTGCAAAATGGGGTTATACGCTGGGAAGGCATACATGCGGGGGATTGAGCATAGCGACTATGGCATCATAATGGCAATTGTATTTGAGGTGGGCTATATTCTTTCAGATTCTATTTAAATATCAAATAGACTAGAAAATGTTGCATTGTTCAAAAAAGTGTCCAAAATCGTTTCAGACCCTGAAGATTGGGTTTAGGACTATGGACCAGTCTCATACTATTGTCTAATGTTAAGCATATCGTGCTCTTTACCATAAGCCACTTCGTATCCTGTGGCGCTTTTATTATCAGCATTCCTTCAAAAATTCACCCTCCCTCGGCTATGGCCATATTTGATGGTTTCCCTCAATCTTTCACGCTCCTCTTATCAATGGATGGCAGTCTTGGCACTTCAAGCTGAGACCCTGAGGCACTGTGGCGGACCTTTACCAATTGATATTTCATTAAAAAGCCTAAATCTAAAAGAATAAGGAAAAATCGTCCGCAGATCACCAAAAACCACCATAATTGATCTACCTCAAGATCGCATCAAGAAGTACATCAGGCTAATGCAACTACTCACCACTGCAACTGTGGTGGCAGACTGACGCAATCAAGCACATATGACCGAATAGCTCCACAAATCACGAAATGCCAATGAAGGCAAAAACTAGTCGACGATTAGCGAATTAGACAAGAAAAATGTATATATAGGTAGTCTGGTTGGGATCTGTCTCCAATGATGATTATGTCCAAATCTACAAACGAAGACCCGCCCAAAGCAATCGAAAAAAATGACTTCACCGTCGAATCCACTCTGGAGTCTGACTTGGAAGAACAAACAGAAAACGAAGGAAACCCGTTTTTGGACCCTTTCATCGCAAACCACTACCACCAGATCTACAACGACTGCAACTACGAGTGCCGTGGATTGTTTGATCCCCATTTTACGTGGACCAAGGAGGAGGACAGGAAAGTTATGAAAAAGGTCGACAGAAGAGCCATCTTGAGTGCTTGTATCATGTTCTTTGCGTTGCAGGTCAACAGAGGCAATTTGCACGAAGCAGTGGCCGATAATCTTTTGCAGGATTTAAACATGGACACTAACGACTACAATTTGGGAAACACGCTCAATTTGTGTGCCTTTTTGTGTGCTGAGCTTCCGTCTCAGATCATCTCTAAAGCACTCGGACCCGATATCTTCATTCCCATCCAGATCTGCTGCTGGTGCCTTGTTTCCACTTGCCAGGGCGCCTTGACAAATAAAACCGGTTTCTTGATCTGCCGTGTGTTGATAGGCCTCTTCCAGGGCGGTTTCATCCCAGATATGATTCTCTGGCTTTCGTACTTCTACAAGTCTGGCGAGTTGCCTATTAGACTCTGGGGTTTTTGGGCTTCCTTGGCTCTAACGCAAACCATCACCTCCGTTCTTGCCTATTTTATTCTCAGAATGAGAGGCGTGGCTGGTTTGACCGGGTGGCAGTGGCTTTTCATCATTGAAGGTTGCATCACCTTGCTCATTGGAATCTGGTCCTTCTATCTTATGGTGCCGTCTGTCGTGCAAACAAAAAACCGATTCCATCCTGAAGGCTGGTTTACAGACCGTGAAGAGAAAATTGTCGTGAACAGAATCCTCAGAGACGATCCACTGAAAGGCGGTATGAACAACAGACAAGCGTTACCATTTAAGGCCATCCTCAGATCCCTCATGGACTGGAACTTATGGCCTATTTTCGTCATTGGCATTTTGGGCTACCTCCCCATGCTGACGGTCCTGCCATACATGGTTTTGTCGATGAAACAGTTGGGATTCAGCACTCTAGATGTCAACCTCCTCACCATCCCACTGCACATTCTCCAGATTGTGTTTATGTACGGCATCACCTGGGTTTCCGAAAAATTCAACGAACGCAGCCTCATGAGTCTTGTTATGCCGCTTGTGGCGATTCCGTTTTTGGCAGCTTTGCGTTGGTGGCCTGGAACCATGGAGGATGCCTGGGTAACGTGGTTTTTCGTCACCATGGTGCTTTCCGCTCCGTTGATCCACGCCATGTGTGTGGCCTGGGTTTCTCGAAACTCCAACTCCATCGAAACCCGTTCCGTGTGTTCTGCCTTGTACAACATGTTTGTTCAAGCTGGCGGGATCATCGCTTATAATATCTACCGTGAGGACGATTTGCCAAAGTACCGCCGAGGTAACCAGCAGCTCTTCTGGATCCAGTGCGGCTTGATTCCTGTTTTGTTGCTTACCAAGGTATTCTATGTGTGGAAGAACAGAAAGAGAGACGAGGTATGGGGTGCTATGTCGATAGAGGAAAGGCAACGTTACATTGCAGAGACCAGCGACAAGGGCAACCAGCGGTTGGATTTTCGGTTTGACCACTAGGGGGAGGGTGATTAGTGGATTAGAGCAGAAGTGGGCAATCTAGGGTATTGATATTTTGAGGTGATATGGTTTGTAGTGTTCGACGGCTGGTTTTTCTTTTCTTTATACTGAAGACATTGATAAAAGGTCGCTGGGGGATTGATGTTACAGCCATTTTGTATTGGGTGAATTGAGAGAAGCTTTTACCATGTACTATCAATTCATATACTGTAGAGCTGAGGCGGTTCTCACCTTGCACTTGTTACTTGGGGTGGATAGCAAGCGACAACGTATCTTTAAGGGATTTGCAATTTATATCATGGCATCACACCCTTGACGAAACTGATTTCATTGCCCTTTTTAATAGGTGGGGTGGTTTATATTGTTGGTGGAAATGGCTGCAAATGGGCCTTTCTGCGAAGTCTATAATTGGGTCGGTAGCACATTTTGAAGTTCAGTTTCTCTATACAAGAAAAGTTTGAAATAGTCTTAGATTACGGAAAAACGATTTACGGGAAAATTGGCACTTGCAAGGTGTTATTCTGGTCGAACTAGTCCCCTAAGCACGTCGTACATTGGTGCTTTCTAACCTATCAAACCTCTATGGCGGTCTAGAGCGTTTTGTTCATGATTGTGTATATCTTAGCCCCCAATTGTTAATCTAGAATTTGTTCTTTCACCCAGTCTACTTCAAGCTTATTTAAATGGCACCCCTGGTGCTTAAGCTGAGAGTGTAAGGTGCTGAGCCTTCCCTGCGTTAGCCATACCACTCCATGATGCTAGAATCAAAGATCATCTCCATACACACATACTCTGGCTACAACAAAACTAAATTTGCAATAAGTATCACACCGGCGTGATCAAACTACTGAGAACGGTATTGTGGCGTTACTTTATTCATCATTTGGAAGTGTGGACACAAACAGTAAGATATAGTATGTAAAGAGCATTTTTGATGTGGACTTAACGAGGTGGGCCTGAAACTCCAATAGCACACTCTCCACCTGAATCAAACTGTTGCAAATAAAAGTGACGAGGGTGAGAAAACCGTAAACGATACGCTTCCTTTGTCTATCCCCTCTCCATAACATGGCAATGGGAACATGCATCAAGCAAATAATCATGGGTACCCAGAATGCAACAGAAAACAATTCTTCCTTTATTTGCAAGTAATGATTGACGATACGTTGAGTCATTTCAATCGATACAGACAGAACCTCCTCAAAATGAGAGTCAATTCGATACAATTCGTGCTCCAACCGGGTACATCTTTCTTCGATTGAAAGCCCCGTCGTGTTAAAGCCGGTTGCATATTTAAATTCGCCAAGCGCCTTTATCCTCTGTAAGATGTCGTCCATGTTAACCATTGAGCTAGCTTTTCCACCAGGCTGAAGAGCTTGCTTCGGGAGTAATGATAAAGTGAAAGCAGTGGCGAAAAAGCGGGTTTATTTATACTTTCAACCAGAGTTACCCGAAATCGGGGATCCACGGAAATACTGGAAAAGTCATGTACCAAAAGAGGAGAGGTGACAGATTTGGGTAGCTTGTTTCACCAAAGTTCGGGGAAGGTTTCATAATACTTTTTCACCCCACACGCCGATTGCGCCTCAAAAGTGGTAAAACTCTGCTTAAAAATTTAATTCTGGATGTTTTGACTGAGTATCAGAAAAGAAGAACTGGTCCTGGTGGAACGAACTGAAAATATGCTTCATACAGTGATCTAGGAGACGAGATACATTCAATTGAGGAGGATTCGGTTAACAAACCGTCCATTCACATGTTCGTGAAAAATATTATTTTGGGTTGGTTCTCGGGGTTAACCCTTATATTTCGTATCGGCAGAAATAGACATTCGATGAGTTTCGCTAGAAGTGCATCACTGACGCAAGATCTCCTATGCTAAAGTTCACCTTATTCTTATATCTCATGGTTCATCTATAGGGAACTGTAATTGAGAATCCATTTATGTGTGGAGACCAAATACGCTTTGCATTCAGCTCAATGAAGTATACCTGAAACTAGCCCTTCGGCTGGTGTGGCGAAGGAAGCCTCATGCATGCAGCCGCACCCCTTACATGGGAGGCCTTGCCCACCCCTTTTGAAGTTAACATGTTTTTTTTTTTTGAGAAATCTACTATTTGTATCCGAGTTTTGGTCCTCCGAAGCTAGTCTAGATTATAAATTTGCATAACGAGGCGAACTTTTGGCCGATGAATGAATTTTAGTATCTGCATATTACCAAGCCTCGATGCAACTGATCCCCGGAACAAAGGAATCTAAGCGACCCGCATCCTCACATGCAGGTCTCGGTAGCACTAACTCGGGAGCAAGCGCTCACGATACTATTGAATTAACCGAGGCGGTAAGGCGGGCAAATTTTTTTTAAATCAAAAACTCAATAACTATACAATTAAAAAGGGCCTAAGAGGTTGTGTCTCAAATCTGATGCAACTTGATGTAGTTCTACCCGTATAGGTGCGTCCTGCCCCTCTTCCTTCAGACCACAAAGAGCCGGTGTTCCCACACAGAAGTGAAATGCCGCTCACCTGAACGTAAAACTAACCGAGAATACAACTTCGGACTTTTGATAGGCTCAAACTCCGACCAAATAACTGAAGGTTTGACATGAAGGGGAATTTCACCCTCAAGAACCTCTCGAGGTAATCGAAAACTCCGAGCTTTAGGATAGCCATCGACAATATCCTTGAAACTTTCCCACCGAATCACGGGAAGATTCTCACTTCTCTTGCACAATACAATCTCCCCATCTCCCCGGCATAACTGCTCGTCCTCGACGAGAGTGATCTCAATCCTTTCTATTACGAGTTCCATATCGTCTATCGGCAAATCATCACTCGCCTCGTCATAACCTTGGGCAACAATGAAGCAGAAATTCATGAACTCAGATAACTTCATCCCGGATCTCACCATTGTGGCCGTTGCCCATTCCTCACTTTGAGAGAAGCTTTGATTCTCTGTGAGCGTGAGATGAGCAGTAACTGGAATATTCGAGCCACCTAGCGCATCAGAAAAATCCCTGGCTGCTCTTTTAAATCGAATAGGCAGCGGGAGAGAATGCACAACTTGATCGCCCACCATCAAGCAATTGGTTGCGCAAGGCTTCCCCGAATTGGTTGCATCACCGCCAGGAACTGGCAGTTCCGTGACCATCGATATTATTCTGGCCTGGTTGTTATAAAAAGAACGCAAATACCCCTTGTAAAAATCAAAACGTCCGCACGGTTCAACACCGGGCAGAGCAAGAGGTTCATCCAGCCGTTCTATGAAAAGCATACACTTCTTTTTGCCAATTGTGTATGACACAATCTGATACTGATTGAAACGCGTTTTAAAACATGCCAAGCGTTGACTAAAGGATGAAACTAGGCGACTTGTATCGCCCTTGCTAGATGGAATCGCCGGGTTCACATAGAATGAAGCCGGATCTGCGCATCCATGATAACGCCAATCATCAAAATCCTCATGTCTTATGCGTTCAGATTTCTCTTGAGCTATGTTTAATTCGACAAACGCCGTAGAAGTGAGTTTTCCAATTTTATCGTGGCTGAGCTTGAAAGTTGCTTTCAAGCCGTAGCTTCTAGTGAGATCATTTGTGAAGAAAGTCGGACCTACCATAGGCAATTCACACGAGTACATCTTTGCCATAATTTTCAGCGGCCTTTTTGAAAGCATGATTGACTCAAACGGCTTACTCTCGAGAAGCGTTTTTGTCCGGACATCTTGGAAAACCTCCTCATGATTATGTGTACTCGTGAACTCCTGTAACTCGATTCGAATGTCAGTTATAATAAACGGCTCCTCGAAGCTGTCGTCGACTAATCCCGAAGCTCGAAAGTCCAAGGATAAAAAGTCCGATACACGCATACCAGGAAGCACTATACGATGACACAAATCTTGTTTAAAGTGAGGAAAAGGCTTAAATTCCGCCCGAAGCTTGATTGACATATCCTCGTTAATATCGCTCATTGACTCCATGTTCATTTCGGAGCCGAATCCCCCGAGCCGATGAGACATTGGAAATTTGGGACCAGGAAAATATTGTTTCTTGGTTCCAGTTGTGAAAAAACAGGTTGCTACGGTTGGCATTGGCACTTCATGTCTGGACCAATCGTAAGTGATGGAAGTTCGACAAACCTCGAACAAAACCTTGGGAAGGGTGGGATCCGGGCCCGATCCGAATGCGGTGACGCCATTGGCCAAACGGGCATTTTCTAGGTGCACCTTTCGTTCAGGGCTATTGAGGTCAGAACTGATAAGCTGAAGCTCACTCACTTGGTGATAAGCACCGTTTATCTTGTAGCAATTGACCAGAAATGAGTATGCCTCGATCTCCAGTATCCTTTCCATTTCTGCCAACATCTTTTGATGGTCTGACCCCAAGTTTTTGATGCTAAAGACAGTGTCCAACTTCACCCGGGGAGTGACCTTTTCAACCTTATCTTCAGAACGGGGCTTGAGTAAAGAACGTAACGATTGCATTTGTCGGTTTTGAATATCAAGATTCTTGTAACGAACTCAAGGGCAATCATGCCTTTTATATTACGAAGCATGGCTTGATAATTAATTCACAAATTGCCTTTGCCGTACGCGTATTTTGAAGAAGAGGAAATCATCCTTCTACTGTACCGGCAGTTTCACTTGACCACTAACTTGGAAACATGTAGAGGGTTTGGCGATAGTGCAAGCGTATTTTAGAAAAGTGGCTTCTACTTTCTGGGAAGAAAGAGAATCAAGTCTGAACTGATATGCTCTATTGTGGGTGTACGGGTCTGGATACCGAAGAACACCCACTTGGAAGCCTTGAAGACGAAGAAAAAAAAAATTATTTTTTGCAGTGAATAATATATACTCGTCACGCAGGAGAGCAACTTTTGATGACAATCTTTGAAGTCATGGTGGGTGGTTTAGAAGACAGTTGCAGGATTGTCCGGTCCATTATTCCTCACCTTGAAGCACAGAGCCATAAAAGTTTCAATTGGATTGTCTCCATCAGTGCTTGCTGATTTTTAGAGTTTAATTTCAAAACTGCTGAATCTTTTCTTACCTGAAAATTCAAGTGGTTTTCAGGGTGACCTGACCTTTAGTGAGTATTTCATTCAGTATTCCAAACGATTCTTAGGGCGGTCGGGACTCTTTAAAAAAGACTCAAATAATTGCAAATCTCAGAAGAATACACATCATGAAAGGATGACACTTCTTGCGTTAATGGTTTCAACTCGAATCCTATTGAAACCTGTGTTCTGCTCGGTGTAATATTGTCAAATCAAGGGCACCACTGGTCACAGAATTACTGAAACATGCGATAAGCGCATCAAGTGGTTGAATATTGATTTGACAAAAATAGGAGCATAGATTTTTGATATTCTTACAGGAGTTAGAGAACAATAGACATAGCCTGGAACTCTATTTGTGCAAACAAGTGAATGCCCAGAAACTAGAATACACTTTCTCATGATTCTAGCAAGGCTATAAAGAAACCCTTGATTCCACGTATTCTATATTAAATAACTCACTGTCTTTTCTACTAAGTTTGAATATATAAATAATGATGATTCAAATGCTGCTTTGGGTTCAGGCAATTGTCGTTCTCCTTTGGTCGAGCATGGTCTATGGTGATGATGACATAATCAACTCAGAGAAGTACAACGAAAATGAATTGTGTTTTTTGAAATACAACGGTATCTCCGCTGAAGATGACGGTGGAAAATTCGCAATTGGCTTGTTGGATGATGATTTGGTGCCTCATCATTTCGTGGCTGAAAAAGGGTACTCTGGGTCCTTGGAGGAACGTGATCAATTCTTCAAAATAGTTGTTGAGAGTGAAGTAAACAAGTGGAGTCCTGGAGCAGACTACTGTGAGTTGTTGCTGAATGCCTTGGATAGGGATAACGAGAAGTGATCAGGAAACGTCTATAGTGAATAGTATTGAGGGATAAGCTCAATTGGTAGAAATTTGAAAGTTTCTAGCCATTGTAGTTTCAACTTCTGGGTGAATCTGCAGATATCAAATGTTGTATGGTGATTATGGAAGCTCGTTCTCTTTGCAGCCAATTCCCTACGGAGATCAACAATAAAGATGGTCCGAAATATTCTTCTTTTTGTAGATAAGTCAATTAGACAACCTTCGATATTTCAGAAAATGAAGTTGTTTCTGATATTTTCGTTTTTGTCTAAATTACATATCTGCACCTACCCAGTCTATCTCCAGACTCTATGAATCCATTCCAACCGTACTTCCAAAAAATTCATTTTCTATATCCAACCAAAAACCAACTTTTCCTGGCCAAACTTCAAAATCTATTCAAAATTTAATTAATTTACCCTTCAAAATCACCCCGGTCCACATTCCAGTTCACGTTTTCTCCTGACCCTGAACCCTGCGTACTTCCCCAGATCAGTGCAATTGTACAGGGAAACTGAGAACCGCCACTACTACTTCTTTTCTTCAAACAAAACAAAAACACCATAAAAAAAGAAAATGTTTGGCAAAGACTACTCCGCTCTCGAGGAAATTAAACAGGTGATAGCCCCTGAGCAGTTAGAGATCTTGAAGAACCAGCTCGAATCCGAAGACCCACAGACCCCGGAGTCTCAGTTCAACTATGCCTGGGGCCTCCTTAAAACAGACAGCTCGAGAAAACAAAAACAAGGAATTGACATTTTGACCGTTCTCTACAGAGACGTGCCACGGATGAGGAGAGAGTCGTTGTACTACTTGGCGCTAGGGAGCGTGAAGATCGGGGAGTACTCGAACGCCAGAAGGTACGCCGAGACGCTTTTGGAGAAGGAGCCTGAGAACACGCAGTTCCAGGCGTTGAAGAAGGCGATTGACGAGCGGGTCACGGAGGACGGGCTCATTGGGCTCGGAGTGGCCGGTGGCGTTTTGGCCGTTGGGCTTGGCATCATGGGAGCCGTGCTCAGAAAGAAAAGATAGGCTTGCTGGGAGATGACGATGGAAGCAAGGCGGGCCTTGGACGGACCATACGGAATACACGGTATGACGAGGGGGGTGTAGGCGGCCAAGGCGGCCAGGAGGCCAGTTCAGAGAACCAAGGAGGCCATTTCAAGTGAAACATGGATTCCTGACGGTTCTGTGAAGTCTTGAATTCAATTAACTGAGGGTATGTCGGTCAAATTGGAAATTGAGGGTTGTCTTCTCCAAGTGTAGCGCTATGGGAAAGCTACAGTGCCACCTGAAGAGGACTGGGAGGTTCCAGAAAACCTCTTGATGACAAGAGACTGAGCGTTCGATGATCAAGATGTCACAAATTTAGGCATTGAGTTTTTAACCTTGTCGTTGAAGGCCCAGTAACTCTACCTGAGTGACATACTAATGAGAACCAGCACTACCACCTCCACTACCACCTCCACAGACGATCTCCACAGATGACCTCCACTTAACCAACAGAATCCCCACCCCTCAATGCCCTAAATAGCCCAAAAACCGAAATCAAAAGTACATTCTTAAAAAACCCTCTACTGCCCCACCTCATCTCCATCGCATCAACTCCACATTTGGGTGCGAATACCTAACCACACGGTTCTTCACCGAATGAACCACAATGCTCAGCTTGCCGACAGAATTGCCGCTGCAGTAGTAAAGCATTTCAACGAGGCGCCGGCCAAAGCAGGAAAACCCGTCATTCGTGCCAATGGCGTTCCAGAATGGACTGTACTAGCAGGTCTAGTAACACTACAAGGCGACAAGATCGAGGTGATCTCAGTTGCCACTGGCGTAAAGGCACTCCCAGACGACGTCAGAAGGTACTCGAAGGGCTGGATGGTCCACGACATGCACGCCGAGATTCTCTGTCTTCGAATGTTGAACTATGTGGTGACTGAGGATGTGTTGAATGAGAGGCAGGGAAAGGATACGCTTTTGTTAGAGAGGGGAGAGAAACGGCTACGATTGAGAAAGGACCTCAAACTTTGCTTATACATCAGCGAACCGCCATGTGGCGACGCGTCTATGAGCTATGTGGCACAGGGCAGAGAAGCCTGGGAGGAACCTCCATCGAAAAAGACCAAAATCCAGCAACTGGGGCTCCACAGAGGCCGTGAGAGCTTTGATATTTTAGGCGTGGTTCGAACCAAACCAGGCAGAGCCGACAGCAAGGTGACGCTATCGAAATCGTGCTCCGATAAACTTTGTCTTAGGCAGGAGACTGGGGTCCTCAATTCGATCAACTCGGCGTTTGTGGAGCCGGTATACCTTGATTTTATTGCTCTTCCCGAGGCCAAGTTCCAGCAGGCCGACTTTGACCGCTGTTTTGACAGAATTGACCCGAAAAACGGCATATCTCTCCAGCCTTTGCTATACACCGAGGACCCATACACGTTCCACAAGCTGGAAAGCGCTGTTCCGTCGCCATTGAGTCTTCTTCTCTGTCCTCCGCTCAAAATCAGCCAGGCCATACTGAACGGAGCCAAAAACGGCGGTTTCATCAAAAACAAGCCACCCAAACCCCACGGCGCCAGCATCCTCTGCAACCAGAAGCTCATACAAAAAGCAGGCCCCTTAATTCAGGAAATCAAACTTCCAAATGGACAGCTGCCAAAATCGTATCTCTCCCTCAAAGATAGCAACCCCCAGAAAGACCTCAAGAACCACCTCCACAGCCTCCTCGGCTGGACCAGAACTACACCAGACGACTTTGCTCTCTAATGCATGCACTATATACCCGTCTAATCGCTGTCCGAAGCAGAACCCTCGTCGTCCAGAGGCTCCTCGGGCACCTCAGGAACCATGGAGCCGTACTCGGCACTCTCCAAAAGGCTCCGGAGCTTCTCGTTGTCCCTGACGTAATTGACCGGCTTCAAGCCGTGCCTGTCGACGATCTTGGCGTCGGACCCGGCGTCCACCAAGTTGTCGATAATGAAGTATCCGTACTCTGGCTCGTCTCCAGCAAACTTCACCGCTAGGTGCAACGGCGTGTCGCCGTCTCGGTTCAACGGATCGATCTCCACGCCTTCCACGTCCAACACCGCGTCTATGAACTCCCAGTTGCCAAGCAGGGTGGCGATGTGTAAGGGGGAGTTGTTGGTGATCATTTCTGTGGTGGAGTTGAGGAGCAGCGCCAATTGGTCGGGCTGCACCTCCTGCTTGATGGTGGTGAAAAGCTCCACGTTGTTGCGGCGAGCACACTCCAAGATTTGCTCCTTATACGATGCTCCTTCGTTTTCAGACATGGTGGTGAAGTTGGAGGTGTAGCTGCTCTGTTGGCTACTCGCTCGGCCAGATGCAGGCGAGTCTTCAGACGACATGTTGTGGGAGATAAGGGGAGGAGGTAGTGTTGAAGGTTTTTCTTTTTTTCTGTCGATGTTATTTTTTGGCGGGGATCGATGGCTGCTGCCGGTTTTGCTGGGTTTCTGATTTGGCGATTTGGGTATGTGGGCTGTGCTGCGAATGGTTGCAAAATCGGAACTACCATCGGTTGGTGAAAAATGGTGGATTTTGCGCTCAAAGCTTCACGAATCGTCTTTTAATACTTCTGTTAGGATCATCAAAGGCTTGTTTGAAAGGCCGGTATCTGTTTTGTCGATTGTTGGCATTCACCTCTATCAACGCCATAGAGGTCCGACACAACCCATGGAAGTTCCATATTTCCTGATCCAGCCTCAAACCTACTCAAAAGCTGGACTTTCCACTTTCTATAAAGCATCCCCTCCCTCATTGCCGCCGCCCACCTACTCACTCCCTTATCATTAACCAATCATTACTATTTACTCCATCGCAGACACCTTCTCGTAAAGGTTCTTTGTCCTGCGGCGGATTGCCTTGCCAAACACAATAAACACCAAGAAGCTTCCGTTGATCACCACCGAAAGCATGAACATCAACCAGGTGGTGGTCGCCAAGCCGGTTCTGTTGAGCCACGGCTGGATTGCAAACGTGAAGCCACATCCGATCATGTTACGGATGAAAAGAATAAATACAAGCGCCTCCGACGCCGCCTCTGTATAACAGTCAATGGCATACGTCAAGCAAATGGGACCTGCTGCTGCCATCGCAAAACCAAGGAACCCTTGACCAACAACCACAGAAACAGCCCACGCATCACCATTCAAGGGCCCCATGCAATATGCCAAAAGGCCGCCTGCGTTGAAGAGCGTTGGACCAATCATGGCCCAGAGTCTGAACTCGGGTTCTAGAATACCGTTGTTGCGGTGTGCCAACTTGACCGTGAGCCAGTCCACAAACGGCCCGCCGTAGATCATTCCGATCAAACTGCCGCCAAGAGCTGCCAAATTGGTGAGGCCCGTGGCAGAGGTGGAAAAATCGTAGTAGGTGGTGTAAAGATCGGACTGGGTGGTGGTGAGCAAAGAGAGCCACATCATCTGGGCACCATAGACGATGCCCAGCCAGAAAACGGCAGGAAAACAGCCGGTGTAAATTGGCTTGGTGAGAATTTTCCAGAACGGCCGTTTGTCGTTGTACTCGAGCTCCAAAAGCTGCATTCTCTTGAAATACGTTCTTTTGGTGTTTTGAGTGTCTGAGTCCAGATCGCCGGCTTCCTCCTGGCTGAGAATATGGTGGACTTTCCCGGCGCCATGCTCGGAACTGAAACCCGTTTCTCTGGTTTTGATCTGGTCGAGAATCTCTTTTTCAGTCTCACTGTCTTCTCTTCTGAAAGAGGTGTCCTCCATGAGGAACAACTGCACCACAAAAAGCACACAGAGAATAATCACCTGGAGCTTGAATGCCCACTGCCAGCTGGGCAAATACGCCGCCACAACAGGACCAATGTAACTGCCAAAGTAAATGGCGAAAACAAGCCAGGAAAGCTTGGACGCTCTTTCGTGAACAAAGAACATATCCGTGGAAGTGATCTCCACAAGCGAGTTGGTGGGAGCAGCGGCAAAACCACAAATCGACATCAGCCCCATGATGTAACTCAC